ACTGAATTTTACAAGGGTCATTCTGCATGAAAGACTTCTTTTAGCATGGGTCGTTGTAAACCTTTGAGTATCTAAGGTCAGGTGCCTGGAGAATCATCAATCCGAGCTGGACGCTCGCATGGATCCGATCCTGTCTATGATAGATACTCCTGTGAGCTCTCTATCCCCAAATGAGGTGGATGACCTGATCACTGGGAGCAAGTTGGCCCTGGCTCCGGCTGATGCTGACATCAAGGACGCAAAGCGTCGCATTGCTGCAGCCAAACCCCGGAAGCCGAAGAAGGGTGCCAATGAAGAAGCTTTTGATTCAGGTTCCTCTGTGTCCGGGGAGGATGAAGGGTGAGAGTGTGACCCTGCAATATCTTTTGGGGTAATGTTTCTTAAATATACCTTGGCCAGTGTGGTGACCTGAATGGTTTAATATGATGTCACATGCAAAACTTACCGATCTGAACTCCAGCTTTGCCGGCACACTGCCAGCCCCAATCTTCCTGTAGCCTCACGCATTGACGCCATTGTTGGCAATAAAGGATGCTTGCCGGGGAACTTTGTGTCGTACATAGGCGTTTTGTTCCATACCAGGGGTCAATAGGTCTCTGGCCGCTCATGATAGCGCTGTAGTGCATCGCAAGTCAGCTTGAGCTGCATTTGGCCCAGCGGGCAAGGTATAACCCCAATCCTTGAAAATGCTCGGCGAGCATCCATTGCAGCTGACGTCGCCTGTGAAGCTCCATGGGCTCCATTGTCTCATGCCCACTCACGACCACGGTCTCTGTCCAAGTTTCTGGTCAAGTCACCACTCGATATACGAGGGTGTCCAGGACACGGTGATGCTGTTCATGCACAGCTTTTTTTTCAGTGGGCCTGTGGCCCGTGGAGCAACGCTGGATCCCGATCCCTTTGAAACCAAGAGGCAGTTCTTGGCTGCTTCGACCTTTTCAAGACCTGTTGCGTGGATGGTGCTGTGTGACCAGCAGGAACCATGCGACATTTTAATTTAGTGATAGGGTCAAAAGGGCCCGCAACCTCGCTCCGTTGAAAGGGAAGGTAGTGAACGGAAAACAATCACTATTCGAGACCTGAAGACTTTCACTTTCGTTTAGTCAATGCAAACATGCATCACGTGAAGTATGTTACAGTATGTTCATAAAATTAGTTATTCTTGAATCCCTGTACCTGGCAGCTTCAATCGGAAACCGAACCGAACACAACACATGTCATTGGACTTCCTTATGAGAGTAGTAGCTCATAAACATTGTGGTGTGACATGCTTAAGCAACCGTTAAGACTGTTCAAACACATCTCAACCATAATGGATTCATGATTAGTCACTTGCAGTGCATGGGTTCACTGTGTGCTGTGATGGCTATATCATGGATCTCGTGGAAGAGTTTTTGACTTTGACCCGGACAGTGCCTGGCTTGCCAGAATATACTTATGTTAAGATGCATGCTCTGTCAATTTGTGTTTTGTGAATAAGTTGGGACAAGGTGAGTGTCACAACCATTGTGTCGCTCTTCATCATTCTTCGAAAGCGAATTCCAGGAAGATGCTTACCGACGCATGACGGCACACTGGTTCCTGTTTAACATGGTTTCATGTCAATCCATAAATCCTCGAACTGACAAGTCAAGGAGAAATCTGAGAGATCTGGTGGACAACCTTAGCTCCAGCAATGAATCAAATTTTCCTCGGACCTTTTGGAGATGGCTCGCCAAACAAAAGTGGCGGGCAATGCTACCACCGCCATTGGAGCACCTCAATTTGCAATGCTGACAGTTTTTTTGGGCATTGGCTTGTATTGAGTGCCTCCTGCTTGATCCACCTGAGGGTCCCAGTTCTTTTGCAAGATCAATCTCGTGAACCGTCAGTATACTTGTCCACCTGGAACATATTGCTTCCAAGTGATGTGAATCTTGCCTTTTTGCAGAGAGATCAACACGGAAGTTTGATTGTTGGATCATTCGTTTATACCTTGACAAACCGAGGATCTCACATATTTACAACTACAGCTTTGACCTGTTCAAGGAGAAGGTGATTGGACCAGACGGTGTGCCTTGATCTGCGAACATGGGAGTGGGATGGGGTGGGGGTGTGCCTTGAAGTTCTTCAAACGTTGTAGAGTCTAACCATGATTGGTAAGGCGATCCGGGAATTTTGGGACCGCCACAGAAGCACTGCATGGTTCCAAAACCATCCAATTCTATCTCATCCCGCTCCTTGATTGAAGCATTGATGTGCAAATTGTTTAAAGGTGATTTTGAATCCGTGATCATCGAAGGATACCAATTTAGATCGGGTCATCCCATTAGCAGTACATGGGGACGAGGCAGACAGCCACAGGCGGAGGACTTTCAGCATATTGACAGTTGGCTCATTGACAACTTCAGGAACTTTGTATGATGTCAAATTTTTGACATATTGCTTGGACAATAGCGTTGCTGCAACGGATACTGCATCGACGCTTGAACGTTGGGTCGCGCATTCTTTGTCAGAGCTGCAGCAGGGTGTCTTCAGTGAGGTGGACCCATGGAATAATCCGTTTCCCTCAAAGGGCCACAAACGTCGCGGACAGATCTGTGGCGGCTGGCTTTGCGTTTTGGCATTGGTGAAAGGCGATGAGAAATGGCATCAAAGAACCTTTAAGCCCACGACTTCATGGGTGAGTTCAAATCCGTGTTTGCATTGCAGTGCATCATCTTCTTCCAGCAGCGGAAATCTATTGTACACAAATTTTGGTGCCCGTGCAGATCACCGGAAGACCTTGAGAACCACCACGGAGTTCATAGCACGCGTTGCCCAAATGCACACTTGGACATGTGTGCCAGGCTTTTCGATATCCATGGTGATATATGACTGGTTGCATGTGACAGATCTATGCATCATTCCTGAATGCTCCGCTAGCGCACTGAAACTTGTTGGAAACACATGTTCTCATGCATGGATAGCATGATTGTTTTTCATCAACGCTATAGATCTGAGGATTGAACTTTTGTCACATCGTGCACAAGTGTTTGGTGGTGGATCAGCGGACACCAAGCTCCTTTGTGCCTTCCGCATGTTCACCAAAGCCTGTCGTGAAGCTCGGATCCGTGCCCTGGCCTGATAAGATTGGCATTACATTTGCACCTCAGTTCATGTTGTGAGTTTATGTGAATCTACATCGGTGACGCTACCATATTCCTTTTTGCTGAGGAAACAGGGGACAGTTCTTTTCGGTGAAACTTAACTGCATTGATTCAGGTTGTGGTTGAATTCGGCATTGTTGAAATGTGTTATCACAGTTATCACATTGGATGTGAGGAAGAGCTTGTACCCAAATGGGGCAGGCACCTACCCCACCTTCGCTCAAAAGAATATGAATGGTGCCGATCCTTGCCTTCAAACTGTGTGGTAGCTTCCGCCGCGCTTTCTTCTGAAGATCACGCCTTTTGTAACTTAAGGAATGCGTGGTGCTGGCTTGGTGGCTGCATCAAATCACCATGAAGCTCGCAGATGACTTTCCGGATGACGTTCATTGCCAGTGACTTGAAGCGATACTTTCTGTGCATTGTATAGTTTTCCGCTTTGACTCACCCCGCATAAGGTTGGTTGCAGCGGTATTTCTTAATTTGTGCCTGATGCGGAAGGCATTGAGCAAAGCACGGAATCCTGGGCTGCATACATCATTGACGGAAGAGAACATCCAGCTACTGCAAAAGAGTGCCTTCCTTTTCCGTGCTGCCCACAACAGCTACTTGGGATTCAGAGAGTGTTGACGCTGAATGTTGATTCGAAGCCATTCGATTGTGCACTGTCGTTGCACTCAGGCTTAGCCCTAGAGGCCATAGAAGCTGGGACATTGCTATGGAAACTACGCCCCAAATATCATAAGCTCTTTGGTTGAATATGGTGCAGTGTGTGTTTGTGGTTTGTATGCAAGTAACGTGGCCTCTGAAACCTTTCAGTGCTAAGAAGCTAAGGCTCGATCATTTGGTCCTCGACCAGTCACCCTTCCTTTCACCTCTCCATGCATCGTGCTACATGGACGAGGATGCAATGGGGCAAATAAAACGTTTGGCCCGGGAGTCAGGACCCAAATCCTTAGGATATGTGGTCCTTCAGCGCTACTGCGCCTATGTGTGCTGCAGATGGTTGCGCCAATTGGTGGATTGATAGTTCAAGTTATGTGAAAACCTCCCATTTTGGAAAACAATCGATCACGATCAACGATTGGTGCAACCATGCCGGATGTACCTCGACCTGCTTCGTGTCCAGCTCAAAGTGGTGGCAGGGCGGCGAGCGCGCGGATCGGTGGATGGGAGGATTGGGCCCCGGAAAGTATCATCACAACCCTGCCAGCACCTTTCCAAAGGGCGCCTTCTGGTTACCATGCCAAGAGGCTACTACCAGTAACCTCTTGGAAGTAGCTATTTTCAAAAACCAGAAGGCGCCCTTTGGAAGGTGCTGGTATACTTATATCATCTTATATCTAGATGTACATAGAACCTGAGTGCATCTCTATTTTGGAGCACCAACCAATCAAAATAGGGTCTTTTCCTATCAAAGCACGGGTCAAATGGGTTTTAAGTATGTATCTCACTCTCTCTCTCTCTATATATATACACACACATGTACAACCTTAATACACTCCCTGATATACACCATGTATGGACTATGGATCCTTAGAACATTGACCCCTTCTCAAGCACCCTACCGCAGGTAAATAGGCCTTGCATGGATGGTCTGGGTATAGATCGCGATGTGTGTGAGACTTGTTTGTTGCTCCGCGGGAGGTATCCTGAGCGTCTTTGGCCAAAGACCGAACTTCTGACTTTCTTCTTAAGTGTGCCCTTTGGTCCCTTGGACAAGTTAGGTCGCTGTGTTCTTCTGCTGATTGAATTTAACTATATACTGTAGTTGCCGTTGCTGCCGACCACCCACTGCTCACAGCTGCTGCGACCTACTAAAGGCGACGGCTGGGCCACTGGTCGCTTCTCTGTTCTCGAGATGGCGCCTAGGTCAGCGTGGGCGCATGGAACTTCCAAAATTTTGCCAAGGCGGGGGTGCATTGGAACGCACAGAGACCACGAGTTCGCACACGACTGGTTCGATCTGCCGGTCTCTGCCGGTGTCGGACGTGGACCGACGGAAGGCGTTGGCCTTCCGACTGGTCCGGAATCGGAGGAGGCTCCGGTCCCCTGCGTTTCGATCAAATGACCCCTCCGTTTTGCTCCGTTTCGACGCATGGAGGTACTCCCAACCGCATTGTCATGCGCTTTGATCGGCTACATGGAATCAATTGCAGGGAACCCAGATCATCGGGCTTCATGACCGCAGATCGATGTGCTGGCTCGAATCCTCGCTACATACTTTCATCAAAGATGTTGGATCATTTTGGAAGTAAGTCCAAGAAGCACTTGGTCACGACCTTCGAGTTTTCCAAGGTCTTCCAACAAGGCCCAAGGCCCCGAAGGCTCTATCGGCTTTGATCCCTCGACCAAGTCGCCTCCGGTCCTCCCGCAGTGTTCGAGGCGATTGGGAAGAACCTGGCGGCCAAGCATGGCTACGAGTTGGACGCGGGTCAGGTGGCGCTCCTCTACCCCGCACCGGGCGGGCGGCACTTCTCTTGTGTGCGAAAAGCCGCACATGGAGGATCCATAGAGATCCTGAAAGTGCCATAGAGATCCATTTAGAGATCTCTATCCAACATGTCATAAAATGTCCATAGAGATCTTGAAAGTTGGGTCAGGGAGGGTACCAGGTACGTGTCATGGGAAGTGTCATGGGAGCGAGGAAAATCTCCCGCGAGCCCGGGACGTTCGATTAACCACCTCGCAAGCTGCGGTTGACGTGCCAGATTTCTGCTCCAGCAAGCCTCACGGGTGAAAAACCATTGGTACGTCCCTACTGGTACGACCGGATGGTCCATTTGTGAGAACCGCTGGTTTTCGTCCCTTTCTCGGAGAACTGGGCGATGTGCCCAGTTCTTCAGTCCTTTTTCTGGACTCCCCAAAGAGCCCGGGACGTCAAGGGGGACGTCCGACGGGACGACTGCACCGACGACGTCCGATCTGGGCGGCAAAAGCGTCACATCTGGAGAGGTCACCAACCCAACTGACTGGTGCGACCAAAGTAGGACGGTGAGGGTGGCTGGATCAGGATCCATTTCGGGGGGTCTCTAGTCTTCCCCGGCCCCACATGAGTCACTCGCACCAGGAACTCGAAGGCCGCGACTCCAGGAACTCTTCGCCTTGGGCCTTTCCAACTTGGTGGGATCCATGTGAGGGGCCCAGCGCGAGGTGCGATCGCCGTCTGTTCCGTGTTCATCAGCCCAAAAGATCGGTGGGCGCCACAATGCCGCGGACCGGAAGGAGATGCAGGCAAGTGAATATAGTGGGATTCCTCCTTCCTTGGAGTTCCTACATGTTCCACTCACTGTCTTTTTCCCAATTGTGCCAATCACTGGGGAGTTTTTCAGGTGTCTTGCTCGCCACTTCCGCCTGCCGGCCTGCCTCATGTCTTTCGAGCTCTTCCGCCCAGTGGCGAACCAGTGGCGATGATTTCTTGTAGAGTCTTAAGTATCGATCGAATCCTACAACTAGGGTGTCCCAGTAAACCAGTATAGATGGAACGATAGAAGAGAACATCACTCTTTTTGAGAAAGGCCAGGCTGCAACCTAACCATCATCATCCACTGGGGCCTGGTAATGGGAATATACTCAGCCTATAAATCACTGGAAAGTACACTCCCAAAAATCATCATGGCAGTGTACAATAATAGAACATAGGCCCCTGCAAAACCATTTGTTCGCTGCTAAACAGGTGGTTTCCACTTCACAAACTTTAGATCTCTGAATCGGTCCACGATGTAATTTTCGGTCGGAGCACTGCCGAACATCGCGAGGTTCTCCTGCTATCCTGTGACTGGCAGCTTCTCTCGATCGGCCTTAAAGCTCAGCTTCTCTCGTTGATTGGGCACAGAGACCGCTGGTTGAGTTGATGGTGTGCGGCGATGTGAACATGTGAAGGTCGGACAACATCTACTAGGTTGGAGGCCATGGCTACTAGGTTCCGTTGGCCATACTTACTACTGTAGTTACTAGGTTCCATAGTTTGGGTCGGCCCCTTTGTGGTTGCTTCCGAATGGAAAGAGGGCCAGAGATGCCAGGACGGGCACTGAAGGGAGGATGAAACCAAACGCTCTTAGCAGTGTCACGTCTTGTTTGCTCCCGTGAGGAGTCGGAGGAGTGTCACGTCGTAGCGATGTGCGGTCTATTCGCCGTGTTTTGAGCGTCCTTGGTCCCTACAGGACCTGCACGAGCTATGCCCCTGCCTTTGAGTTGGGTGGGGCATCGGACAAAGCTAGAGTTTGCTTTCATAGGTTTAAACTCTGGATAATATGTTACAATGTTGTGGGTTTCTCCCTTTTTTGAATTGAACTGAGCATGTGTTCTATAAGCGTGCGGATTGGTTGGTTAAAGCTCCACTGGTGCATCATTTGTTCAAGAAACAGCTTCTGTGGACCTGATTTAAGTCATTTTGATTCATGGAACGGCCCGTTCCAAATTTGGTCAAACCATGGGGCAATAAACATGTATTTCACCCGCCTGACTCTTTTGAGCGTCTTCTGGAAGGGTTCCGAGCTCCGCACTGCTCCGCCCTGCTCCGCACTGCTCCGCGCCCAGCTCTGCGAGGCCGTGAACAATGCCACTGGCGCGCAGACGCAGATGGCGGGGCTCGTTACTGCCCTGGTGATGCTGTGCCGGTCTTGGTCGGGACCGCGATCCGGCCGCTGGTTCGGACGGTGAAGCGGAATAAAGAGGTGAAGAATGAAAGAAGAATGGGTTGGAGGGGTGCCATCTCTACTCGGGAGGCCATCGCGGAGGCCATCGCTCTTATGGGAAGAATGAACAGATAGTTACATAGAGGAGACATTTAATTTTGAGTCGGCCTGGTGTGTAGCTCATTCTTTCCGCATAGCCAGCAACCATGAATTTGCTTGGGCCAGATGCAACCAGCTATGTTGGGACATCCGGTTGTCGTGATGTCAATATTCAGAGTCAGAGCCACAACCAGGAATGTAGATGAGACGCCTCCACCATTTAGAAGCAAAACGAAGCATTCAGCTTCGATCAACAATCACCCTCACATACACTCACCAGCTGTTTGCACCTGATTCAAAATTCCATGTTCTTCGATGTCCTTTTTTTTGTATTCTGCACGACCTTCGCTCTTCACATGCGCACTATTTGAGATTCGCACGGTCGACCTGAGGGCCTCGGGCTCATCGGCTGCAGCCTATTTGGCTCCCAGAGGGGCACGCAGCATGAACAGAACATGCTGCGTGACGGACCCGGTCGACCGGGTGAGCCCGCGACCACGTCTGCGCCGCGCCCAGAGGATCTATTTGACGACAAGGTGGTGGTGGATGCACTTCAAGGCAAGTCGGAGCAGAACCGCAAGGAGCGCCAGCAGAGCGCAGAGCTTTCTGAGACGTAAAATCAATCTGCGATGTTCCCTCAGAGTCCAGTCATGACTCATTTTGGATGGATTGACTGGATGGATTGACCAGTCACGGGCACTTCGGATGGATTCATCTCGGATTCATTTCGGGTCACGAACCGGGTCGAACGAACGACCCGGGTCGAACGACCCGGTCCCTAGGAGTATGTCTTGAAGATCCAGGCCAAGGTGTCGGAAGCCCTGCAGGCGCGGTTCGTTTCGTCTTTCTCGTTGGGGCCATCAACACATGGTCAGCCAAGCATGTGAGGACATGGCGGGCAGCATGCAGAATCGGGCAGCATGCCTAAGGGAAGCAACACAAATAGGAATACTTCGGAAGACACCAATCCCGAAACTCTTCTTGTGCAGGGTGCGAATACCAAGCGAGATGTGATGCAACTCTTAGCCTGCTTAAAGACCTACTGCTTCCACTGCTCTGCCGGGGGCAACACCGCAGCCACAGCGCTGAAGAACGGCCTCACTGCTTTGGGGGCTGTGGCGATTGGTCTGGACAGCCACCCGGTCGCGAGCGCGCGACCGAGGCAAGGAACGCGTCGGCACTCGAGGCGCCGAGCTGTGTTCTTCTCGAAGGCGTAGCGAAGGGTTCTTGTTGATCTGGGGGTTTGGGGGTTGGACCTGTGTTCGCCGGAGGAGGGGTTTGGTGGCTGGAGTGTTGTCGTCGGCACGCCCAGAAGCAAACATTCCTGTCGCTGGGGGAAGCTTTTGGAAGAGTTCTTCGATGGATGGAAACGTGTCCGATTCGTGTGAAATCCCATGCGGCTGCAACAGCTCGGCTCTTGTAGGACACGCTTGTGGCACAGTCTTGTCGACGCTCTTGGGGCCCTCTTGTGGGAGACTCCTGTTGGAGGCGCAGTCTTGTACACTCTTGTGGGACACTCCTGTAGGACACTCTTGTGGACACACTTGCGGTGCAGCTTTGTGACACACTTTTGTGGGACACTCGTGTGGGGCAACTCTCCTTGGACACGTTCTGGGACACTCTTAGGGGGACGCTCTTGTGGGACAGTCTTGTAGGACACTTCTTTGGCCAGCGACTCATCAGCACCTCCTGCTCCCAAGAAGTCCAAGTATGACAAGTACCTGTCTGGTACGTTCCCTCAAGCAAACCGTGCGGATTCATTCAAAGCCCTGCGCACATCCATGCCTGTCAGAGAATGCAGCGTTTTGTTTTGCAGAACAAGAAGGAGCCCTTGGCTTTTGCTGAGAAGTTCTTCAAGGAGGATCTCAATCGGGCGTGTTGCCGGGCTATTTCCATTGGTTACTTTGCAGTGATCCGGAACGTGGCAGAGAAGGCTCTTGAAAACTGAGGCATACAAGTCTTTACAACGTTGCGCTGCAGCGAGCAGGGTGCGTTTCCACATTGGAATCATCTTCTTTTGTAAGCAGAGTCTTCGACGCAGCAGCCGTAGCAGGCAAACCATTTGACTCCTGGCGACACAGACTTTGTCAACAGGACGGCGGCACCTCACCGTCAAGTTCACTGCAGCCACCAAGGCCTTTTCCTCCAGAAACGTCCCCTATCACAGGCTCCCTGGATGCTCGCATGTAGTACTTCTTCTTGTCGGAACAAAGATTCCTGGCTTTGACACTTTTCTGTCATGAACATGCTTTTCGTCGGCCAACTTTTCTTGGTCATGCCGCGTGCCATGTAACACGTCTCTCGCAGCTGCTCGGTAGCATTCGATTGCACCACATGAGAGGTGAACCAATATCTTTTCTTCTAATGACCAGGATGAAACATATGGTGCATCGAAACAGTGCATGATGCCCTACGCGAACGCCTGAGTCCAACGGCCCCGCTCCCAGAGAGTGGGCGCACATCTAACAAGTCAATGAGCTTGGACACCCCAAACCCAGGGCAGCATTTGGCTTGGACACCCCAAAGCAAGTGTAGCGCTGACCAGTTAGGTTTGATGGTGCTGAAGCAGAGGGGTTCCTGCAAAAAGGTCCTGGACCACTTTGACATGGGGGCACCGGAGAAGTTCAGAATTTGACCCGGAGCACCTGGTGGCCACTAAAGTGCTCTACTATGACATTTTGCTTGTTAGTGTACCCTTTTCCTTGTTAATGTCCGTTCCCAAGTTGTTACTCGTGCATCGCTGGCAAAACTAGCCTTGTCACATCTTAGGCCATACGGGATGATGCAGATCTCAAAAAGCACGGGCTTCATTTTTGGGTTCCCTTTTGGTATGGCCAGGTGATTTTGAGTGTTGGTTGGATGGCAAGGAGCGGATGTCAGGGGCATGAAGGAGTTCACAGTTCACGGCTGACAACGTTGGTTGGTCTCAGAACAGGTCATACCCTGAAATGACCTGCGAACCTTCAGATACACATCTGATGATGAAGTGGCTAACTGACTTTCTTTCCACCATGCCTTTCGAGCGGACATGGGTCCTGGAAACTGCGCTAGCAGGGTTAGAAGGCATTGACGAGTTTTCTCGTTTGGCATACTCTCATGATGACCGCATCGTTTGGGATGAGCGGAAGCAGTGGCTTGGAAAGTGCTACTTGGGATGTTTCCTATGTGCCGTCGTTGTGGACCTTTCGGGGTACTGGCACCGAGCTGGGTGGAGTCTTTTCAAGCTTGTCCCAAAGTTGCACTTCACTGCACACTGGCATGAATACCTGGGCATTCAGCCCTGGGTGCTTCAGCGCACCCATCCTCGAGACAGCGTGGCAAGGACAACGGAAAAGGCGCCAATTGTTTCCCTGCTGATCGGAAATGTGGCATCTCCCATGCAGTCCGTGCTTGGAGCCCATTCCTTCTTCCATTGCTAGGTTTGATGGGGTCGATGCTCTGTGCACCTCAGGCTTTTGCGCTCCTGGTCGTCCTGCAGACTCCGTCATTCTCATCTTCTTGCGGCTGACTTCCTCAACCATGATCCGTTCCCCTTCATCATCTACCATGCTGTTTTCTGAAGGGTCCATCTTCGGTGTCACGTCCTTCTGTGCTTCTGCCACGTTCTGGTTCATCACGCGACGCCTTCGCCAAAAGCATTGGCGTTGCTGGGGCTGGAACTGCGACAACCTTCTCGGCTCTACCCTACTCTTCATCATACCCAGCACTGAGTTCCAAGGCGCTCCCCATTCTGGTACTGGCGACTTCGGCGGCAACCTCGTGACCGTTCTGTAAGTCTGGGCGCCGCCCGCCGTCGTGACAATGTGTTTGTCGGAATCCGCGTATACGATTCCTTTACCCACCGAGCTGCTGCCTTGCTCTTGACATGTGGAATTTCATCTTCACCAAGCGGGATGAGTTCCCCAACATAGTCATGTCCATCGATGACTCGGTGTGCTGATGCGACTCCGTGGGCTATATCTGGGTGACTTCCCCAACTCCATTGCTGAACCCCCTATGCTCTTGCACTCTGTCATCAAGCTTGTTTCCAAGGAACTTTTGCCACCGTACCATTGAGAGAGCTGCGTAGTTCCCTCCTCCAAAGAAAATGGCGATTGGCTGTCCTTGCAAATGGCCGTGAGAACTGTAATCAAGCCTTTCTGCGTCTTTCCTTCTTCAACATCTTCCACATTGCCATCCCTGCTGAAGAACATGTAGTCTGAATAGTAATAGACACGGTGTTCTCTTGTGTCTTCTTTGTGTCTTTCGCGGCCCTCTGCCCATGACACATTTTTGCGTGGTGCAACATGTGGTCGTCTCGCTGTTTGGGTTGTTGGTTGGGCTGGAACTGCTGCCTCTTTCGTCTCTTTTTGTTTCGCGCTCATCTTCTCCTGGAATTGACGGCTCATATTCCACATCATCCACCACTATGGCCTTTCCAGCAGCAATAATGTCTGTCATAGTTCGTTCCATGTCTGCAATGTCCTCGTTGTGTGCGTTGTCACGACTGGTGCTTGGCTCCTCACTTCTTCTCAGTCGAAACCAAGTCTCACCTACCTGCCCATTCAAGGCTAACATTCTTGTTTGCCAACCTCTCTAAAGTCCAAACATCTTCCTCGTCTGTCTGCGCACCTTCCTGGGCATGCCGGGTATCACCGGTGACAAAAGGCTCTGCTTTGAAGAGCTCAAGGAGCCGGATGTTTGGAGGACAGAGCCAAAGACGATGACGAGTATTTGATCAGACAGCGCAACGCAGCAAGGTTCCAGAAGTTTTCCCCCAACAAGGTTTGGAATTTGCCAGTTGAACTTGGGCCAGATATTTGCCAGTGATGTGACCCACACTGCTTGTCATCAAGGTGTCTGACCTTGAGGTACCATCTCTTCCCGTGAAGCTGTAA